TAGGTTCATTTACCCATTGAACAGCATCAGCTGAGTCCCCGTCACATCCACTGCACTTTTGTTCTCTTCAGGGGTAAAGCAGCTAGCGAAGCCACAGTCCTTGCTCTCATTAAAAACTCAGTGCAGAACAAAGACGATAAACAAAATCAATGTCAGATTGTAACATTATCATGAAAACAAAGCTAAGATGCATGAAAAATGGAGAGATATGATGTCTAGTCTATGGTGGGAAGGGGAGGTTTCCTTGATAAGGTGACATTAAGAAAAGATTTGAAGGGAATTATAAACATATGGTTCCCCATATGGTTGAGTGGGAAGAAACAGGACAAAGTTTTTAATACGCAATAATGACATATGCCTCCAGGGTACAGCATGACATTAAATACAAGTAGGAATAGACAATGTATACTGTTGAAATTGAATATTTCTGTGAATAACTGGGAGGGAGAGCCCCCATCAGTGGTGATGGGGAGATGGAGACATTGATTGTCCTGATTTCAACAGTATACATTGTCTATTCCTACTTGTATTTAATGTCATGTTGTACCCTGGAGGCATATGTCATTACTGCGTATTAAAAACTTATGTAAAAATAAATAAGCATTTAGAGTACTATGTACGTATAAAATGTGTTGAGCAAAGTAAATTATTAGCATACAATGAAACGGAGTCTGCCATTCATAGCTATTAATGCCATTCATTGAACAGAAACTATTTTGTACCTGCTATTTGATAGATAATATAACAGGGAAACTTTATCATCTTCTTCAACCAAACGATGACATCTCTTTCCCTAACTCTTCGGTGCAGGCTGGACTTGTGATGTAAAACAAATTGTTAGAAATGATATTGTTCAGGGCCTGCACTGTGGTTTAGCAGGTAAAGCTTCTGCTTATAGTGCTGCACTCCCATTTGGGTGCCAGGTCAAGTCCTGGCTGCTCCTCTTCCGATCCAGCTCTCTGCTAACGTGCCTGGGAAAGCAGTGGCAAATGGCCCGAGTGCTTGGGCCCTGCACTCATGGTGGAGACCCAGAAGGAGCTCCTGGCCCTGGCTTTGGACTGGCCCAGCTCCAGCCATTTGGGGAGTGAACCAGCACATAGAGGAACTCTCTCTCTCTCTCTCTCTCTCTCTGCATCTGCATTTGCCTCTGCCTCTGTGTAACACTGTCTTCAAATAAATAAATATGTTTTTTTTTTAAAAAGAAATGACATTGTCCCAAATCTGAGCCTAGGCCCAAAGAGACCATGCATGCTGCTTCTCGCTTTAGGCTCTGCTTCCTTGGCAAGGTGTGCAAATCCAGATGGGCTGAGGATGGACGTTAGACAGCTGAAGGAGAGGTAGAACACACCAGCCAGCTCTCTGCCCACTCCCCCAAACGTGAGAAATGGCCAACACCGTCACTGAGCCCACTGACAGGGACCACAGATGCACGGGGAGGCCCGGATCTGACGAGATCACCCAGTGGACTTGCACACACTGAACTGAATGAATGGTTGTGGGCTTGAGGCACTGACTTTAAGGCAGAAGCTGCGGTTAAATAGCTGAAGATGCAAAGCAGGATGGGCATCTGCTATTCTGGGTCCAGGAACCTGACAGGGAAGGTGCACACGGGGGGATGAGGCCCTAGCCTTTGGCTCTGAGCTTCGAAACGCTAATGATTAGGAGAAGCATCAGCCTGTCTTCCGTGAGAGTGAAGGATTAGACCGACTCAGTTCTGTCCTTTGTAACCTTGGCCTGAAGCTCAGTACCAGCCCTGAGTGTGGGTCCAGTGCAACCATATAATGTGATTGAACAGAAGCGTCAGTCTGATCCAAGAGTATTAACTCTATTGCTGATAATAGACTTAGATTAATTTAGGGCATTTTATACTCTATTTGATTAATGTCTTTTATTAGAAAGCCATGAGAATTCTTACTGATGAAAGCATAATAATGATTACATACTTTTTTTTATTTTTGAAGAGCTGAAACAAATGAGAAAAGAATAAGGACTTTCAAGAGGTTTTAAAATGAATAATTTCAGCAAAATC